CCGCTCGCTAAAGGCCGGCCCCCCGGGCGCGGGCCGCCTTCCCCCCCCCGCCCGCATCCCCCGTCCCCCCCCCCCCCCCCCCCCCCCCCGCTCCGCCACCCAATGATCACTTCCTTCCCTGACCCCTTGCTGGCCCAAGCTAACCTGCTCACCAGGGAGTCCTTTGACCTTGTTTTCCTGCTTTCTTGCTTTGGTTAGTGGGAAAAGGGCCTGATTTGCTTTCCTCTTCAGGATTTTGTCCTCTCTCCTGTCTCATCTTTCCTTTCTCTTGTATACTTAGCCTGTCCCTGGGCCTCTTCCTTTGAGTGCCTGGCCTAGGATCCTCTCCACACCACAAGGAAGACCTTTATATGGGGCCAATGCAACAAACAAATGGAAAGGCTCAAAGGTTCTCTCCAGTCTTCAGTGACTCTCTCATCTCAGTAGCCTCTGACTTAGTCTCTTTAAAAGGGAACGGGAGCTAGACGTTTGCTTTCTAAATCCAAATGCCTTTTCCCTCCTTAGGTTTGGGGCTGGACCAAGGAAACAGGCAGGGACCTGAGGAGAGTGATGAATATCAGAGCTGATTTGCTCATGTGGACAGATACCCAGAAATGGAAGTCAAAGTTCTCATGGTTGGACGTTCTCAAAGCACAAGAACACTCATCTCTGGGTGGGGGGATCATGGCTGAAGCAAGCCACCCTGGGAGAGGAGCAAGGCTGCCAAGATAAAAGGGCTTCTGTGGAGCCAGGCTATGGCACTTGGCCCAAGGGTACTCTCTCCCAGAGGGATATAAGCCCTGCCTTGGACCAGCCCCTGAGGAGAGAAACTTTGCCTCTAGGGTCCTAGGTCTCTGTGTATCTGCCCCAGATTGTAGAGGAGCCAGAGACCTCTCTTAAATTGGCTTCCAATTAGCAGCTGGGGGGGAGGAGAGAAAACCGAGGCAGGGATGGATGAACAGCTTACTCAGCGCTAATGGTTTCTGCCCCTCATATCGGGGCCAGACAGGGACCACTCCACACTTCCTTGGCAAGATTTAGCCTGAAAATCAGAAGACCCGATAGCCTCCACTTGTGGACCCTCTCATAAGGAAGCGGGCCTGAGAGGCAAATCAGTGGTACACTCTCACTCAGAACCCCCCACCCTTTCAGTGCCATTACAGCCTAGGAATGGCCCATGGAGAAACAAAGGAATTAGGTGAGGATCTCAAGCTAGGCAGCATTAGTAGGAAGTGCAGATGCCTGACAGCAGTGAGGCTTTTTCATTTTGGCACGGCCGAGGCCTTTGATCCTTGGCATCTGAATGGGGCTGCTAGGAAGGTCAGCAGCAAATGGAAATGGCTCCGAGGCAGGGAAGGTCCAGCTTAGCTCTGCTTCTCCAGGCTTGTCTTGGTGTGGTGTACGAGGGAGTGGGGGAGGGAGGAGTCAACAAAGGCACTGATTACAGACTCAAACTGATTCACACGTGGGGCCAAAGCCCCTGAATAGCCTGGGACTGGTGCACATAGTACCTCAATGGCACGGGAGCATGGTTGGCAGCTGGCACCCCTGCTGCTGCCTCCACCCTTATGTGGCCACGTAGGAGTCACTACAGGCCCCGGGCTGGCCCATTCTGGACAAAGCTATGTATTTGATGAAGACCATGTTTTCCTTGGGCAATAAAGTCTTATGTATATTTTTTACCTTTGGCTGGCTACTTTTTTTTCTTCTTTTTTTTTGTGAGGCAATCGGGGTTAAATGACTTGCCCAGGGTCACACAGCTAGTGAGTATTATGTGGCTGGCTACTTTTATGGAGTCTCTCTGAAGATCTTAGGAAACTCTGACCTTCTCTAGTACCCACCACGCTTGGGACTGCAAAGATCGATGTTTTCATCCATCCCCTGACAATTCCTCAACCACTTACTGGGTGGGCTTTTCTGGTCACTGGGACCCAATGTTCTTTCTCTCTGTGGCCAGTTTGGACTAGGATACTTCATGTAGACCTTAGATGCTGTCAAGTCCAACTTCTTCATTTTTTTTGTTTGTTTGTTTTTGGTGAGGCAATTGGGGTTAAGTGACTTGCCCAGGGTCACACAGCTAGTGAGAGTTATGTGTCTGAGGCCAGATTTGAGCTCAGGTCCTCCTGACTCCAGGGCTGGTGCTCTATCAACCTCTTCATTTTACATGTGAGAAAACAGACCCAGATGGGACAAAGTGACTTGCCCAGGGTCACATGGCTAGAAATGTTTGAGATGCTGCTCTTTGCTGGTTGTCAGACACCCAGGCTGCCAAAGCAGTAATCCATGCCCAGATAGCATCAGAAGGGGGAGGGCCAGAAGATGAATCTTAAAAGAGCCTTTCTTTTTCTGGCTGATAAGTGACTATCATACCCTTCTATCTTATGTAGCCATCCATCTCAGTCTGGGATGGGATGGGGAGAAGAGGTAAAAATTAGGGTCCAGGATCCAGCGAAAGTTACAGAAAGCAAACCTATAGATGGTTTAGTCTAGATGGCTGTCGAAGGTTTTAAGCAAACATTGGGCATTGACGTCTCTTCACACACAGATAGTGTTACCCTTCAGAGTCTCGAAATTTGTTTTTAAAACGGCTGATGAGTGCCACAGCCCTCAAGTTACATCTGGTATAAGCTAAGCAGGAGAAGGAAAACATTGGAGCCAGCCATTAGGAAATAACCTAACCCAGGAGGTATTCTTTCAAAGGAAAAACTCTGTTGTAGCTGATGGCCCCGGGGTATAAATAAGCCTTGTTGAACTGCAGATAGGCAACTTGCTCAATATTGGCCAGAACACAAAAAATGAACTGGGACTCCATGGGGGGATGGGAGGGGGTGGGGAAGAGTACACATAGGGTTTCTTGTCTGTGATAATTTGTATAATTATTTTTTTTTCTCTCAGTTTGGTTTTCCTTTTGAGCAGGTTCTCGCGCGCACGTGTGTGTGTGTGTGTGTGTGTGTGTGTGTGTGTGTGTGTGTGTTTTGTTTTACTATTCTAAACCTTAAGCAGAATTTGATTTCTCTCTCTGGTTTGTTTGGTTTGGTTTTTTGCTATTTTTTTCTAGGACTTCTTCCCAGATTTCAATTCAGAAACATTGCCTGATTGCTAAACTGGAACTGTTATTTTTCCAGATTAAAATCAAGATTGAAATGTTGTTTAAGTTTCCTCTCTTGTGCTCCACATGTGCATTTCACAGGCTGGCCGAGGCCTTTGCACTGCTAGTGATTGTGATGATTTGTCTGTGCTAAGTGGCTGCTCATTTACATGTGACACTTATTTGGGGGCTAGTCTTTGCCTATTCATATGCTAATCCTTGTGCTATTCACTTCCCTTTTTGGTCAGCACATTTGCCCACATGCTTAGGCTATCTTGCTCTAGAAGAGCTCTATGTTTGCCTCGCTTTTGATTGCCATATGGTACCACATTTTGATTTAGCATCTTGGGTTTGCTAAATGTAATTTTCACTAATACTTGGACAAAATGGAGGCTGAAATAAGGAAAAGAGTTGGAAAAGATTTGGAGCAGAGTGACCCAGGATCCCTGGAGTGCAGTGATCAGTAAACAACAGGGCTAGCCTGGGAGCTGACACTCAGGATACTTTTTGTGAGTTTTCCAGACACAGTTCAAAAACTCCTGACATGCAGTAGATGATAGTACCTGGAAATCATCACCAACACCCCTTCCCCCCATGATAAATCACAGATTTTGAGACTTAGAGAGGGACCTCAGCGGCCATCACAGTCAAAGAGCTGCCTTTGAGGACCTAGAGGGAATTTGTTCTCTGAAGTCTGGATTCAGTCAAAGGGCCACCCTTGAGGACCTAGAGGGCCATATGTGGCCTCGAGGCCGCTGGTTCCCCACCTCTCATCTAGTCAATCCATTGCTGGAGAGGAATCCCCATTATAGCATGCCCCACAATTGGTCATCCACCCTCTGTTTGAAAACCTCTAAGGAGGAGGTGCCCACCACCACCTCTAGAGGTAGCCCATTCCACTTTGGGACAGCCATAACTGCTAAGTTTTTCTCGACATCAAACCTAAATACAACTTATATCCATTGTTCTTGGTTCTGTCCTCCCAGGCCAGACAGAACACATCTGCTCCTGTCTCCATGTGACAGCCCTAAAAATACTTGAACACAGTTTTATTATCCTCCCTGAGCCTTCTCTTCTCCAGTCTAAACATGCCCAGTTCCTTTAAATGATACTTATATGACATGAACTCAAGGCCCTTGACTCTCTGGGATGCTCTCCAGTTTAGAAATGGCCTTCTTAAACCATGGTACCCAGAACTGACCACATTACTCTAGAGAAGCAAAGGACAGTGAGACAATCACCTCCCCATTCCTAGAAGCTTGGCCCTTCATCATATATTGCATTAGCTGTTTTGGCTGCCACATCACACTGTCCCCAGCTCTTTTTCAGAACAACTACTATCTTACTATACTTTTCTCATCTTCGACTTATGAAATAGATTTATTTTTTACACCCAAGTGCAAGACTTTACATTTATCCCCATTGAATTAGATCTTTATCAGATTCAGCCCAAGACTCCAGCCTGTCAAGATCTCATTCAGGGGCTTAGCTATCTCTCCAAGTGATGGGACATCTGCAAACTTGATGAGCAGGCACTCTATGCCATTTTCCAAGTCACTAATAAAAATGTTCAGTAGCATATGACCAAGCACAGATCCCTGGGGCACTCCATTGGAGACCTCCTGCCACACATTACCAACTACTCTTGAGTCCAGCCATCCAACCAATCCTGAATTCAGCTGATGGTCTTATTGTCTGGATGGGACACTTGATCAAAGGCTTTGCTAAAATCTGGCCAAAAGGCTTCCCCAATATTGCCCTCATCTACTACGTTAGTCATCCTGTCAGAAGAGGAAATGAGGTTTGTCTGGCATGACCTATGCTTAGTAACAGTGACTTCCCTTTCTAGATGTTTACCACTCATTTCTTTAATGATCCCTTCTAGGATTCTCCCAGGAATTGACATGAAGCTCACTACCCACAGTTTGCACACTCTGCTCTTTTTCTTTTTTGTTATGGTTGAAAATCAGGGTTTAGCAGGTTGATAGCATGTTAGGAACTAGAAGAGACCAGTTTCCCCACAAATCCTCCAGAAGTGCTCAAAAATGCATAAGAAGGAATGATGATAAAGAAAAACAAAGTGAAAGAATTAGAAGTTTCTCCATCTAGTCTGGGACTGCACAAAAAGACTGCTGAGTCCTGTAGAAGCTCAGAGTGGTGGCATGCCCAAGTAGGCAAAGCCAAAGCCTGGATCCAGATCAGCACCAAGGCAGCCCAATGCCCAGGTAGCTTGGCATTGTGCCAGGGGTACAGCAGGAGACAGCGCCAGGTCAGTGCACATGCAGCTAGTACAGTGTTCTGGAAGTCCTTTCAATGCTATACCATACAGTATGTATATAATAAGTATTGTTATTGATTCATTATTTATAGAGCCTTTAGAAACATAATATAGTTTCTCTATATTTATTAGGTGATGATTTAGAGCATTTTTATATGATGATTGATAGCTTTGATTACTTTGTCTGAAAACTAACTTTTCATATCTTTTGACCATTTATAAATTGGGGGATGGCTCTTATTTTTATGAGTTTGACTCAGTTATCTCTATATTTGAAAAATGTGGCCTTTATCAAACAAACTTGCTGTAAAATTTCTTCCACAGTTACGATTACTAACTGTATTTCCTTCTATCCTATTTTCCCTGTTTATCCTACTCTCTCTCCTTTCACCCTGTGCATACTCAAAAGTGTTTTGCTTCTAACTACCAACTCTCCTAATTGCCCTTTCTCTTATCCCTTTCCCCTCCTACTTTCCTGTAGGGTAAGATAGATTTCTATACCCAAATGAGTGTGTAAATTATTCCCTCTTTGAGCCAATTCCAATGAAAGTAAGGTTCATGCACTCCCTCCCTATTTCCCCCATCTTTCCCTCCATTGTAAAAACCCTTTTGCACCTCTTTTATGTGAGATAATTTACTCCATTCTACCTCTCCCTTACCCCTTCTCCCAGTGCATTCCTCTTTCTCACCCCTTGATTTTATTCTTTAAAGATAATCATCCCATCATTTTCAACTCATACCTGTGACCTCTGTCTATGTATACTCCTGTTTTAATAATGAGAAAGTTCTTAGGAGTTACAAGCATCATCTTCCCATGTAGGAATGTAAACAGTTTAACCTTATTGAATCCCTTATGATTTCTCTTTCCTGTTTATCTTTTTCTGCCTCTCTTAAGTCTTGTACTTGAAAGTCAAATTTTCTATTCAGCTCTATTCTTTTCAACCAGAATGCTTGAAAGTCCTCTATTTCATTGAATATTCATAACCCCCCCCCCCCACTAAGGATTATACTCAGTTTTGCTGAGTAGGTGATTCTTAGTTGTAATCCTAGCTCCTTTGTCTTCCAGAATATCATATTCCAAGCCCTCTGATGCTTAATGTAGAAGCTGCTATTGTGTTATCCTGAATGTGGCCCCAGGATACTTGAATAGTTTCTTTCTGGCTGCTTGCAATATTTTTTCCTTGACCTGAGAGCTATGGAATTTGGCTATAAAATTCCTGGGAGTTTTCATTTGGATATCTCTTTCAGGAGGTGATTGGTGGGTTCTTTTAATTTCTATTTTACCCTCTGGTTCTAGGCTATTAGGCTATTCCTTG